CAGGACACACTTACATCTAGGGCCATCTGGTAACTCTAATTAACCTCAGTGTGTTTTTAGACTGTTGGGGGGGGGGGGGGGGACCGGAGTACCCAGGAAAAACCCCACAATGACACAGGAAGAACATGCAAACTCCACACACACGGAGCCGTGGCGGAGACTCGAACCCGGGTCCCGGGGGTGTGAGGCAGCGGTGCTAAACACTGCAGCTAAGTATTTACGGGTGACTAGGAGGAAGGTTTAACGCTGGTTTATTAGTTTATGGCGTGTGATGTTGAATGTCAGCACTGTGCATCTCCGGGTCTATAACTACATTCCAAAAATACCCAGATGCCATAGACTTTGTGTTTATTTGTCACGTTTGCACTTTTTCAGCGTCAGGTGTATTAGGCTCTTGCTCACCGCCGCTTTTACGGGAACCTGCTCCCAGCTCAGGAGCGGCAAGCTCCCGCAGAATGGCAGCTATTTTTAGCCGTGAAACTCGCCCTCGCGGTGACTGCAGATGCGGAATGGCAGCGGTGCCCTTTCGTCCTTGAGTCCTTTATTCCCTCTCCCCGTGTAATTATTTATTTTTCCGCTTAGGCTTCATCTGCGAGGCGGGCGCTAATGTAACAAGGTCGGCGGTTTTATGGGCAGCGGGCGCGGCGGGTCGCGGTGGACGGGGCAGTGATTTATGCGGGGCGTGACGTCCACGGCGTCCTGCTGCCCTGTTTCCCTTCTCGCGCTCCTGCCCGTTTGCTATTAGAAAGTAATAATAAGCCATTCATCCAGTCACCCCTCCCCTTCTGGTGACTTCAAATTGCCGACATTTCTGGCTGCATTTAGATATCCTTCCCACCCCAACTGAATAATCGTATGGTTTTTTTTTTTGGTTTTTTTTTTAAAGAATGACATCAGGGTTCCTCTGTGGTACGGAAAGGTATGGCGTTCGGTGCTTTCCAGAAAGTATGGTCAGAAAGTATGGAAATATTTTGCCAACAATTGGCCTGCTATGCATTCTAGAAGAAAACTCTGAATTTACCTAATAATGTTTTTGGTTACATCACCAATGTGCGCAAAGAGAACTTAAGAGAACTTAAGAGAACTTAAGAGAACTTAAGAGAACTTAAGAGAGCACAGAAAGTACCAAAGCAGCTGGGGCACTTTTTTGGTAGTTTGGTACTTGTGGGCAGGATTTGCAAACATGTTCAGTTGTTGATTGGTTATGCAGATACAATAGCTGTCCTGGAAAAAGTTATGAACTCAGAAAACAACATTAAATGAAGTAAAAAAAAAAAAAGTAATAAATGTGTGGACAAATGTAGAGACCCAACCTGGATGGCATGAAACTAAATAAAAATGTTGCTATAATATACTGCAAAGATTTCTAATATCGCAATGTGATTTTGTCGCAGTAGATATTTGGGGTATTTATAAAGGAAAAACGGAGTTAAAAATAAGTAATTGTGTCACCAACCCATCTAGAAATGATGTAAACAAAGATGAAATGATTATGACTGGCTCAGAAAGCGCATGCAGAGCTCACGGAAAGCAGCAGTGGTGAACTTCAAACCCCACGCACTGTAATGTCTGGACGGTATTAAGAAACCTGATCTAAACCCAACCCGACTGTCACCGTCCTTGCGATGTGAGAATTGCATGTGCGTAACGTACAGTGTTGGTATTAATATCGCACATCATCCAGCCCTATGTTCTTTTTGAATTCAGTGCAATTTTTTCTAATTCGGACATTTTTCAAATTAATTTTCAAATTCAGTGTAAAATACCCTGCCTTGCATTGCGCTGTGGTTCAGCACTGGTAGCAATTTCTATGCCGTAGGAAAACCGACAAAAGAAAGTCCCGTTCTTTTGATGCTTTTTTTGAAGTACCAGAAATATGACACCTGGTGCAGTGGAGAGGAGCCTTTAAATGGACGGTGGGTAAGAGCCGTGTGATGTGTAACTGGGCAGTATATGCTGAACCCGCAGGGATCCTGAGATGGTGCGGCTGCTAGACTGTACCCTCCTGAGCATTAGAACGTCCAGTGAATCCAGCAGAGGTGACTAACGAACCCCCCCCCCCCCCCTCGCTCCCTCCCCAAGTGCTCCATGCCCTCCTGCATCGTGGCCTTCCATGTGACCTGCGCCTTCGACCACGGCTTGGACATGCGCACCATCCTGGCAGAGAATGACGAGGTTCGCTTCAAGTCCTACTGCGCCGAGCACAGCGGCCGCCCGCAGGGCGATCAGCCCGGCCTGGAGCAGCGCCCCGCCCCGCTGGAGAAAGCCAGCCAGCGAAAGCAGAAGCTGCAGGAGTTGGAGGACGAGTTCTACCGCCTGGTTGACCCGCAGGACATCGCCGAGAGCTTGGGGCTCCCGGGCACCCATGTCGACTTCCTGTACCAGTTCTGGAAACTGCGGCGCAGGTCCAGCTTCAATCGCCCCCTGCTGGCCGTCAAGCGTGACGAAGTGGACAACCTGGCCCAACAGGAGCAGGACGTTCTGTACCGCCGCCTTAAACTCTTCACCCACCTGAGGCAGGACCTGGAGAGGGTGAGTGAACATCAGCACTGCTACAGAAGTTAAAACTCATCCAGTCGGTCAGTGTGGCACATTTGGAGGTTATCTGAACGTCTCACTGTGGCTTTGCTATGTTCCCCTTTGTGATCACATGATAGTATATACTGCAGGGGAGTGTAAGTGATGTCATTTGCTCTTGTGAACATTTTTATTTAAAACCTGTCTTTCTATGTGTATGACCCATATCCTCTGTCTCTCAGTTTTATAATAACCCCAATTAGGGTCGCGTAAGTTCAGAGTTGGCTGTGAGAAGCATAGAAATTCAGCCAGGGCATAGAAATGCACCAGTCCGTCACCAGGCCCTATCGCATGCAAAGCGACTCTCTCGTACCATTTCGGCCACTCAGCCAAAATGCCCGTCTTTGGACTGCAGCAGGCCATTCAGTGGACTCTGGAATAACACATGAACTTCTTTCCTTAATATACAATCCTGTCAATTACTAAAATTGCTGGCATCCATGACCATAATGCCTGTGAGAAACACACATGACAATACTTCACATTCCCCTTCGGCTAGTTGGCAGGGTGTCGTGATCCCGCTTTCCGGGGCCTGTGTGATACTTCTTCCTGTCACGCGCTCCCCCTGTCCCCAGTGCTCACGTCACTGATGATCCAAAGCCATTGTGCTTTGTAAGGTCCCCAGCTGACGGCCCCCTTCCTCTCTTCCTTGTGGCGGCGCTCGAGGCACAAGCACTGGACTGTATCCTACTTACCGCACCCCATGATCCCCCCGAGCTTCATGCCTCCATGAAGGATTTCGGTGATTTTGAATCCTAATTACACTCCAGGATTGGATCCTCGAGGAATTTGTTGGGTGTATCCCATGGTTAATAGACTATTTAGGCATCATTTTAATCCTCTTAACTGAAATCGCTCTATGAAGGTGTGTGTGTGTGTGTGTGTGTGTGTGTGCGTGCACGCATGCGCGCATGCGCGCGCGTGCATATATGCATTACTCCTACTCCCGCTGAATCTTCATGCTTGTGTGTGACTCAGTGGGCAAATGCACCAGGAATTGTCTGCTTGCTGCGGTGATGCTTGCTGCGGTGATGCTTGCTGCGGTGATGCTTGCTGCGTTTCCCCTGAAGTGCCTCACTGGCCCCCACCAGCTCAGGCGACCGCTTAGTCAGCAGAGATTCAGGATCTGTGACCGTCAGCTGAAGCTTTAGCCATAAATCCAAAAAAATAACGAGTTTTCTGTCATAGCTAATGACTGTTATTTTGGTCACGATAGTGGTTACGTTTGGCATGAATACCAATGCCAGCAGGGTGGCTCTTATTTTATAATGTCTCATTTTATTAGGATCCTCCATATTATTTGCATAAATACTACATTGACTAAATGTCATATTCTGTGGTCACATCTCAAAACTATATTTGTGGGGGATGCTGCTTTTTCATTTATTTTGCACATGAATCTGTTTACTAGGATCTTTATTGCTACAGTTTTCTTTTAAAAACAGGCCACTGTCCAGTCTCTGAGCTGACCCCGTGGAAACTAAAGTGTTTCGTTGTTTTGACACTTAACGTTTAAAGATCCATCAGCTTGGGGTATTTGATTAAAAGTCTATAGGCTTTGGTAGAATTGACTGAATTTTTTTGATAGGCTTGTTCATGAACACTGCAGATTCAGTGTGATCCATATACAATAAGAATGAATGTCACCATTTCAGATGAAAGAGATTAATGCATAATATGTGCAGCATATATTGCATAGTTATAGTCTTTGCTATAAGTTAATTAACCTTTAACTGTCACCATACAATAGTTAAAAGTTAAAGTTTCTGATAATCATTTGTTTCTAAACAAGATAACTTAAGCAGATCTATAGGTTCAAGTTGCAGGTGTTTTTTCTTGTGAACAAGGAGAGAGATGGAGTGCTGTGACAGATGACCAGGCCCACAGAACCCCCCCCCCTCCCCACCTAAGCCCTATAGAGCTGATTGGGGATCAGTTGGATCAAAGAGTACAGTAAGAGCAAGTTAACCAACTTGTACCCAGAACTTGTGGGAACCTCTTCAGGACTGATGGAGAAGCTTTCCGGGGGACTACATTCGGAAACTGGTTGCAGGAATGACACATGTCTACCATACTGTCGTCAAACCTAAAGGGGGCTGTTAGGAAGTGTCTAAAATGTGAGAAAATGTTGAGATGTTGAACACTTCTCTTGGTTGTTGCAATATTTGATATAAATTCTTTCATTGCATCAAGGCCTTTTATTGTAAGGTGAATAGCAGCTAAAATGGAGATGGAAGCATTAAAACCAGATATGTCCAGACTTCTGACTGGTACTGTATGTACTGAATTGAAGTCTGCCTGGCTCGTATAACTGGGAATCTACGTGCAGAGATCGGAACATTACTGGAAGGTTTCTGGGAATGTTCTTTCCTGGGAATGGTGCCACAACCTTTTCATTGTAATAGCGTCCCTTCTGCTGTCTTCCAGCTTCCCTCTCGATTTCCGTGACCCAACCCTGCAATCAAGCAGCCCAGTAATTTGGGTCATGGTGGGTTTAACTCCTTAATGGCAGCACATTAGAAGCCAGGGCTGTCGTCAGTTACTGGGCCTGCTGGGTGATGTTACCAGTAACCTTGTGTCAGCTGTCATGTTCTGGGGGTCCAGTACAGGTGGATGGTGTCTTTCCACTGGAGTCTCAGTTGGGAAAAATCATACAGGCCAGATATTTACTGGTTCTCTTCCTTTGATTTCACCAAGGGGGTGATGTGATCTGTGCACTACCAATGCACTCTCTGACCTAGTGTGCTCCCCACCCTGCTCGACTGGCACATCTGCAGAAGTGGCCCCCACCTCAGTGGCCAGCCCAGCGGTTACGAAACCGCGCAGCAATTGGCGGGCAGGAAGCGTCCCGGTGCTGACCCGCTGGGTTTCTGTGCGCGGTAGGCGGGAATGAGTGCATCAGCATGTTTAGCTTGGCTGTGTTGTCTGAACACCACAGCGCTCGCCTGCGTCCTCAGTGACTGTGCTCAGGAACATCGGACAGGCCTGCGGGGGATGGGGGGGGCAGGAATGTGCCTGTGGACAATGTTGAGCCACCCTGTTTGCTCGCCCCGCCTATTCACCCTTTATCCATCGTAACACATGACATTTTCCTACCCTTGTGTGCATGGAGGGTAATGCAGAGACCACAATACTAAGAGGAGGCCTGTGTTTCAGCCATGAGAGGCCTGCCTTACAGGATACCTGCTCTCTTTCTCTGGATGCAGCCCCCTCCGATAAGCCGCTATCAGCTCCTGGGCAGACTGACTGTGCCCCGCCACTCTGCACTCGTTTCACTCCAAAACCTGCGGTGGAATCTGCTCCCGGCTGCCTGTGCCTCTCCTCTGCCGACCGGCTGGTCAGACAGTTGAAGGTTGCTTCCTCAGCTCCTGGTCTAGCTGCAGGGCCACGCCCGGAAACTTTTCTCAATAACCTTTTCATTTCAGCATTTCGCTACTTTTGGTTATCACTCTGCAGTGTATCGACTTCTTAGCTTGAAATGTCTGAAATGATTAAATCTGGGATTATCCCTTTAATCTTCTGTCCTGAAATTTCCCATGTGTATGTCAAATTTTCTCGGTTTGACGTCGGTTTCAGTCACCAAACGGTCTCGCCACAGTTGGACTCCCTACTCATATCTTGGTATGCGGGAGGCTAAGGTGGGGGTGTCACTTTCTGATCCAGCCGTGCGTTCCCTGTCGCTGCCTAGTCTGGTGCTTTTCTCCCTCATCCCCAAAAAAAACAAGTGGGGTTTTGTGGCTCGTTGGATTAGGTGGCCATGTCTGTGAGTCGAAGGTTGCAGGTTCGAATCTCAGGGTCAGCAGTGATCTTGTCGTTGGAACCCTGAGCAAGGCCCTTAATCCCTGGCTGCTCCAGTGATTTCTGACCCTGCTTTCTCAGTTGCACATTGTTTCGGATACAAGCATCTGCTAAATGAATAAAATGTCAGAGCACATTTCCGAAAAGCCAAATAACTGCATTTTGAATACCGTAAATCTGTGGGCCCTTGGCAGGGTGCTGAGTTACTGGAGGACGGCAGAGCGCCCAGCCCTGAGCACTTCTGGCGGGGCGGGCCCATCACCAGGAGGTGGGGGTAAAGATGGACTCGCCAAGGGGGGGGGGTGTGCTTGGTGTGTTTTCATCATGGCACCCGCAGAGCCGGCTTTGGTCAACAGCAGCCCACAAACACTGTTGCCTCTGCTAACCAGATTCCGAATCGAATTGCAGTGCATCATCGAGTAATGAGCACGGAGGCCGGGCCTGGGTTCGATGGGCTTTTGATGTTTTTGCTGTGAGGTTTTTTGCTGCGGTGGCCCTGCTCACCCCTTTGCATTTTGTCTTTCCGCGGCCTCCGTCCGGCCCAGAACTTTGCCTTATTCAGGCCTCCTGTCGCGGAGCCGATTCAGCCACTGCAGACCACAATAGCAGCTTAGCCGCTGTGGAAAAATGCTCGTGTTGGTTAAAAAAGGGGCTAGAACTGTTGCATTTGTTTTAAAACTATAAGGATTTGAATTTTATCAAGTGCATTCTATTTGTAATGGAAGCTCTGGAGGACAATTATGTTAATGCATTTGATACATATGTATGTATTCAAATGTATATTTTAAATTAACGAGCTATTAAATGTGTCCTTTTGCTGTGGGCATGGCTTGCAGCTGCAGTGAAGCCCCGTCTGTCTGTGATCTCGCTGATATTTTCCACACGCTGTGGCTCTGCACTGCAAATGGAGCTTGTTTATCTATCTGGCGCTTTTGTTTCCTCGACGTCCGTGAATCCCCAGGGACAAACTCAGTCACCTTCCCTGGCATCCCTCTGGGCTGTTCATGTGGAGCCCTACCTCCGCATACCTTATGCCTGTGCTGGCTCTGTGCCGGCTCTGTGCCTACACATGGATCTGGGGAAATTACCATTTTTTGAGATATTGTCATAGAAATTTCCTATTACAGGTTTTTCCACACACACGCACACACTGACACATACACACACAATTTTTTTGTAGTCATATGTATTATATATATACACACACACACACACACACACACACACACATACATACATTAACTGCCTTCAACAGAAGTGTGTCATTTGTGCGAATACTCTCCTCCAGTTTTGGACTGATTGGGGGCAGTGTGGTTTTAGGGATCCACAGGGCTGTCTGATACATTGTTACTCTTTTGCAGAGGAGCTAATGAATAGTAATGAACCTGGGACACTGTTTTCCTGAAGCATTTCGGGGCCCCGCCCCCTCATTTGTAGCCTGCACAGAAGCTGCCTTCTGAATGAAGAGTTCTGTTGTCTGACCTACTTTTCTTCTCCCTCCCACCTTCCAACATTCTCCACTGTTAAGCTAAAAATTTCAGCTTTTGCCTGTGATGAAATACTCGCTCTGCCTTCCAGCTGCCCACTAACCATTTACAATGCAGTGACTGACTTATAATAGCCTGTCAAGCTGCTGTTTACAAAGACTGCTTTAATGAAGCTGCTGCATTGAGTTATTCGATTAGGACAAAGCTTCGATTAACCTGCACCTGGGTTAAAAAATAAATCTGTGTGTGTGTATATATATATTTATATATATATAATATATATATATATATATATATATATATATATATATATATATATATATATATATATATAGAGCAGCCAATGGGATCAAAGACCTTTATATTTGTGAAGAGCTAGTCTGGGTAGGTGAGGTTTTCCTTTACATGGTTAGAGCTGCAGTGAATGTTTGCTGCATGGTGATCAGTGAGCTCGGTCCCTGGATGTCACAAAGGCTCCTTGTGGTGCGATATCTGTTAACATATTGGTATTTACTGATATCCGTTAAAAATCAAGACCTAAGCATCGGTCTGGCCGGTCAGTTTTGGCCAATATTACCAGCCAATATTTAGCCTGTAATCTAGTAGCACCAGAGCTAAAGACATAAACTACTGAAGTAACAGATGAACAGCCATTTTCCGTATTGGAGGACGAAGGATTTTACTGGCTCGTGAACCACTTAGAAGAGGCCTCTAAGTACCTGCCTTTGACGTTTTTATTTCGTTATTGATGATAATCTGGCCTCCCAATTTACTATAGAAATACAGTAATATCCTTCAGGGAACCCCTCTCCCCTGGTCAGCAAACTAATGGGTGGTGCAATTTAGCCAGCTATCTGTATTGGTTATCACTATTCGTAATATTAGGCAAAATATTACAAGAAAATTTCCACATCAGTGGACCACCCCAAATGCTGCCACCTTGTGCTTGTAGCTGGGAGGCTCCCTGTCATTCGGGAGGCTCCCTGTCATTCGGGCGGCTCCTTGTCATTCGGGCGGCCGGGAGGCTCCTTGTCATTCGGGCGGCTCCCTGTCATTTGGGCGGCTCCCTGTCATTTGGGCGGCTCCTTGTCATTCGGGCGGCTCCTTGTCA